AGGGACCGTGAAGAACGTCACGGTTCTTTGCAGGGCACAGCTGGGTCTCTGGGTAGCAGAGTAACCTTGGTGCCTACACCTGCTTTAGGTCTTAGCCCCACGAAAGCTTGCGCCAAGCATCTCGGTCCTCGCTTCTGCCGGCAAAGCCTCCGTGCTGTCCAGCATGTGCAGGCAGGGGAGAAGATAAGGAGATATGCCTTCCGCCCTCCTACCTACACCTTCATCCCCTCCCTGCAAGACAAAGGTAGGATGCTGGTGCCCACCGGGGCTGGGTGCTTGCTCTCCCGGCTTCCTGCACAAGGCTGGCAGATGTTTCTTGTTTGCTGGAGCTGCGTGGCTCCGGCTACCGAGCTGGGAGCAGCTGCTGCTGCCAGGCGGAAGCACTCGGCGAGGCTTTCCTAGACAGCTTTGAACGGGAGCCAGGAGCCCTCTCGCTACAGGAGAAAATCCACGAGGTCAGGAAATACAGCAGCAGCTCCAGCTCCACGCTGGGGCTGTTGGCTTGGCACACGGATCCCAGCCGTCCTCTTCCCGGACGGTGCTCCTGAACGGCTCTCCTCCTTGACGTCTTGCTCAGCTATTTGTTCGACAGCCCTGCGCGGCTTTTGCGGGTTGAGTACTGCAGAGGTGATAAATTTGGATAGGCAGGGAAAACACCAGACGGCGACCTGGGTCAGGCGTTCAGATCTTGAAGAGCTTGCGGAGGATGGAAGAAGCACGGTTCCGGCTCAGTGTGGGACTGGGAGGCTGTGCTTTTGTGTTTCCCTCTGTTATTTTGTGGTCAGCTCTGTCTGGGCTCTGCGTTAGCTGCTGAGAAATAGAAACTCTTGTTTATCTTCCTCTGGAAATCCTCACATCAGGAGAACCTTTCACAACAACCAACAGGCTGTAGACCTCTGTCCAGTGTGTCCCCAGACTGAGGGTGAAAACTTGAGGTGTCTGTTACCATCTCTCCGGCAGGAGCCCTACTGTCTCTTCCCTGCCTCTGTTTTTTAGGAGAGCCAGGAACATTGTCTTTGGGATGGCTGTTCCTTGAACCACCCCATGCGGTGGTGGTGATGTTCATATGGCATTGAGGAAATGCTGCATCGAAACCTGTGCGTGCATCGATGAGCAGCCTTGCTCTTCCCACGTTCAGGAGCAAAGATGGGGAGCTGTGAGATGGTGTTGGTAAGATCAACTTAGGGATAAGACCAACTGCCCGACTCTGTAACAAAGCTTGGCCATATGGAAAGCCCCTCTTTCCCCACAGCCTTTGGCCAGGCTCCGTCTCCTGTGGTATTTGCACGTTTCTCTGATGAGTGGTTGGGTCTGCGTGCTCCCTGTGAAGAGCTCGCGTCGTGGATCCTTTGGGAAAGGAAGCGAGCTCATCTGAACATTGATTTTTGCACCCATTAATTCAGGCAGCTCTCGTGCCCAGAGCTGTCCATCATTCCCCACACTCTCGCTGTACATTAGGACACGTTTTGCAGCGGTGGTATGAAACAGTCGGGTGGGCTGGATTCTCCATCCTCTGCAAGCTGCAGAATCTCTCCTGCCATTGCCGGGGCGAGGATGGCCTGCAGAGCGGTGAAGAGTTAGCCGAGGTGCCAGCACCTTCTAGGTACGGTGTGAGTGAGCAAACACCAACGTTGCAGAGTTCTTGTATGTAAATTGTTCATGTGCTGGCCGCGAGTGGCGGGGAGCAATAGCTTTTTCGCCCCCCTCATTTCCCCCACCTCTTGGGTGGGTGCGGAGCAGGGAGACATGGGTCTGTGTTTCTCTGGAGGAGCCCGAGCTCAGAGCTCTGGGCTGGGGTGGTGATGTGCAGGGCTTGCTGGTGTGCGGTTGCCCCTCCGCTGCGTAGCAGAGCTTAGTGGCTCAGCTGGGGTCTGGAGCAGGGCAAGGCCCTTAAACTGCTGTGGGTGACCACCTCGGCCCCCACCTCCTGCTGCAGTGTGGACCAGGAGGCTGGTGTGGCTGGGGGTCTCCTGAAGGGAAAGGCCAAGCAGTGCCTTCCACTGGGGTGGTCTCGAGGGAGGACCCCCTCCTCGAGCACTCATGTCTTCTCCTCCCCATATTGAGTCTAGGCTTTTCTCACTGCCTTAGCAAGTCCCGTAGACCTGGGCGGTTGTGCAGTTCCCCTTGAGCATCATCGCGGCAGCTGCTCCGTCATCACCACCAGATGCAGAGCAAGGTCCATCGTAGCCACTGCAGGCCTTTATTTGCAGCCACCGGGTGTTTTGCTAGGGGTTGCAGATCTCCCTGCTCTGTATGAAAGATGGGAGCTGGTTGCAGAGTTTCTTCGGACCCTCGAGACCCCTCTGTGTTCAGCTGTGAAGCTGTTCTGCTGCAGGAGCAATCCCCTCCTGGCCAGCAGCGTTGGTGGGAAACCGTCAGTCAGCGTTTGCTCCTCAGCCCCTATTTCAGCCTGTCATGGTAATTGTCTCTTGCCATCCAAGAGAGATGAGAAGCCTGGGGTGGGGATCTCTCTTGTCCCTGAGAAGTAGTGTATATGAGAAGTTCATATATGCGAGGGCGTGCATTAATGGAGCAGAGCAACATGGGCATGGTCGTTAGTGTGATCACTTAGATTGTCTCCTGTAGCCTTGCTTTCAACCTGCATCTCTTCCTTGGCTACCAGAACAGAGGCACATCGGACTTTTCTGGGCAGCAGTGGCACTTTTGGGTATGGACCTAGGGTATCCCATTATTTGCACCTCCTTTCCCCAACCATCACCACTTTTCCACCGTGTGTAACAACCTTCAGCTTCTCCAGCAGTGAAGAACGGCACAGCAACCAGAGGTCCTGCTTGGCGTCGTGTTCGTGCTCTGGTCGCTCTTTTGCTCCCCCACCCTTGCCCTTCTTCAGGATGCCTTGTTTGCCTTCCCGCTGCCGAGACGGCAGCTCAGAAGAGGGCTTTGGCAAGAGGTGGTTGTGTCTGACTGCTCCCAGCTCGAGTGGGTGATTGAACCGTCTGAGTGGTTTAAGATTGCAGTCAGGTGGGGATTGAAGGCAGAACGTTCTGGCCTCCTTTCCATTAGATCTTTGCTGTGTTAGTAAATGCATCAGATGCAGGCTGGGTCTGGAGCGGCCTTTGCCAGCACAGTTTGTTCCTGCTTCCAGGGTTTCGGGAGCGGGGCTGGCATGCCCGGGGCGGAGGCTGCAGTGATTTAACTGGGGGGGGGGTGTCTAATCCCGGTGCAGTGGCGTTGCAGGCTGTGTCGAATGGCGACCGGCCAGGGGAACCGTGAGCTCGTCTTCCCGCTACCTGCTGCCTTTCGGGTGGCTTCCCCAGAGCTCGCAGATGCCGGCTGCGGATGAGTATCTGACCCTGGGGTGACTTTCAGTGGGCAGGGGTTGCAGTCCGATGAGGGTGGATTTCTATTTAAACCTTGAGGGTTTTGTAATCTTCCTGAGTTAAAGTTCCTCTTTCTCAGCGGAGTCGGAGCAGAAATTTAGGGGAGGCGGTGAGGGGGGATGAATTTTCT